TTTTTTCCTGTTAAGTACTCATTGTTTAATATAATAAAACTCATAACATGAAAATTAATAATTCATCAATAGAAATATTCTAAAGAATAAACCTGGGCATAACAGACCCATGTTTATGCCCCTTGATGACAAAATTAGTCTTACGCTCTGAGGGTTAAGACACTGACCACATGTCTTAGGCATTTGAAGTTATGCAATAAAATGACAAAAGCAGCAGTGGTGGTGCACACCTGTCATCCCAGCATTCTGGAAGGCTGAGGCAGGAGTATCACAAGTTTGAGCCCAGCTGGGACAACTTAGGGACTTAGCACGACGCTGTCTCAACATAAAAAATAAAAAAGCTGGGGATGTAGCACAGTGTAAAGGCCCTGCATCTCATCCCCAATAGCCTCTCTCCCCCACCCCCCCCAAAAGACATAGACATTCTTCCTCCTGCCCCTGCCACAAAGGAAAAAAAAAAACAACAAAACCCAAATCTGGCTGGGCATGGTGGTATACACCTGTAATCTCATACTCAGGAGGATGTGGCAGGAAGATCATGGTTCAAGGCCAGCCTGAACTACATACAGAAATATTAATTAAAGAAAAAAGCCTAAATCCTTGCCAGCTGCCACTTAGAAGAAAGCCAAGGTACAGCCCACCAGCCATGCATTATTTATCTGGTCACCTCTGCCCTCCTCTCCTGCCTCCTCTCCTTGTTGCCACACCACAGCCCACTGGTCTCCTGGCTGCTCTTGCCACAGGACCTTTGCACATGCTCTTCCCACTGCCTGCATGCTCTTTCTGAAGTACTCAGCTCTCCCACCTCCTTCATCTCTGTTTAAATGCCACCTTTTTGGCAACACATTCTCTGCGTTATTTAAAAATGTACCCGACACTCTCCACCCACTGGTTTCCTATTTCTCCATTACTTTTACCATACTGTCTTGCATAGTGAATGTTCTATTTATTCTTATTTTTCTCTCTCCATTTGATGACCATCAGTTCTACAAGGACAAAAATTTCTCCCTCCTATCCTTCCTTCCTTTTCTGCAGTACTGGGATGGAACTCAAGGTCTCGTGCAAAGCTTGGCAAGTGCTTGACCGCTGAGCTACATTCCCAGCCCAGGGACAAGAATTTTTGCCAGTTCTGTTCATTGCTGCAAACAAGCATTAAGAGCAGGGCCAGCACAGAAGGGTGGCTCAATAAATGTCCATTCATAGCCAGGCGTGGTGGTGCACACTTGTCATCCCAGCACTCAGGAACCTGAGGCAGGATGATCAGCTTGAGTTCGAGGCCAGCCTGGGCTACATAGTGAGTTCAAGGCCAGCCTGGAATGCAGTGAAACCTTAATCCTCCCCACCAAAAAAAAAGAAAAAGAAAAAGAAAGATGAATATTCATTAGACGGATAGGTACAATCTATGCAACAATAATAAATTTTGGGCTGTGGGAATACTGGAATTGAACCTAGAGTCTTAGCATTGAGCTACCTTCCTAGCTCCTCCCCTTTTTATTCTGAGATGGAGTCTCACTAAATTATTATGTTATCCAGGCTGGGATCAAACTTTCAATCCACCTACCTCAGCCTGCAAGGGTGGTGGGATTATAGGTGTGTGCTATCACCTGCAGTTGAGAATAGCAGTTTATTTAAGGGCAAATTTTCTGCTAAAGTTTTTAGACGTATGTGTTAATTATTTTTTAGTACTGGGACTCAGACTCAGGGCCTTGTGGATGCTAAGCACATGCTTAACCACTGAGCTATACATCTCCAGCTACAGCAAGGTTTTGTCTCTGCTTTTTTTTTTTCTGAGACAGGATCATGCTATATAGTTTAGGCTGGCCTGGAATGCACGGTGATTCTCCTGCCTCAGCCCCCTGAGTGCTAGGATTGCAGGCGTGGGTCACCATGTCCAGCTCCCCAAGGGTTTTCTTAATCACTGTGCTCGTCAACTGCCCTGACCCATCACACCAGCTGCCGTAATACCTCTAGAGATTTTTCCCATCTTTCAAAGTCTCAGGACACTGAAACTCAGGAAGGAAGTCACTTGCCCAAGCATGGAGTGGAGGAGCCAGGCTTGATCCAGGGCTTTCCTGCCCTAGAGCTTCCGTTCTGTTGCTCCTTGTGATGGGCTGGTGTGTGTGGGGGCGCCTCTGGAGGACTGTCCCGAGTAGGAACTGCTTGCTCCTGCGGGGTGAGGCTGAGGATGCCCTGTGTCTCCATGGCTCACCTGGGGGTTTGGTGCTGGGTACTCAGCAAAGAGCAGAGACCGGAGTCTGCAGACTGACCTGTGTTCTGGTCACAAGCTGGGACCAACACACCTTCATGTGATGGTGTGATGATAAGCATGACCAAGCCACACACACATGGCTTGTTTCATGTCAGTACTGCCCCACTGTGTGTGCGAGTGGTATGTGTATGGGTGACCTGTGTATCGGACATATCTAGAAGACGGGTACTACTCTTACTTCTTGCTTATGGTTGAGGAAATGGAGGCACAGAGAGGCTAGATCACTGGTAGACAGTGGTCAAGCTGGGACTCAAATCTGGAAGCAGGAATGAATAGAGAGGACAAAGAGGTCACTGGTTGGGTATGGTGGTGTATGCCTGTCATCCCAAACCCCTGGGAAACTGAGGCAAAAGGATTCCAATTTGGAGCCTAACTGGGACAATTTAGGAACTTAGGGAGACCCTGTCTCAAAAACTGAAACAAGGCCAGTCGTGGTGGTGCACACCTGTAATCTCAGTACTCAGGAGGCTGAGGCAGGAGGATTGCCATGAGTTCGAGGACAGCCTCGGCTACATAGCGAGACCCTGTCTCAAAAAACCAAAAACCAAACAAACAAAAAACCCAAACTGAAATAAAATAAAGGGCTGGGGATGAGTCCTGGACCACAACAAAACAAAAACAAAACACCTGGCTGCTCTCAACTCACCTGGGTAGGGTAGAAGTCGTGAACATGCTACGACACGTGGGGTTAAGCACTTGGGAGGCCCCACCATGAGGAAGGACAATGTACTCTGCGGAGCATCTCAGCAGCAGCCAGGAGAAACCAGGAACATTTGCTGGGGTGGAAGCGAACGCCTGGGTGTGAGGAGGATTTTCACTCTGTGTACCCTTTCCAGTTTTATATTTTGGTAATGCAGCCAAAAAGCGAAACTGAAATGTTAGAAATTATGCTTATGTTTATGTAAGTGCAGATTCTGTCTTGGATGGACAAAGATGTTTAAAGGATGGGGGGACTTACAGTGCCATTGCTCGTCTATCCTGGTGCAGGGCAAACATGGTCCTCAGGCCCAGTGGAGGGAGGGAACACAGCTTTCCCCACAGGCTGTGAGTGTGTGTGTGAGCGGTGGGGTGGGGAGAGGGTCCTAGGAATGGGACCCAGGGTTGTACGAAGTGCTCCACCACTGCTATCACTAAGCTATACCCCAGATGCTTACTTTGCTGAAACAGGCCCTTGCTGAGTCACTATTAAATTGCCCACACGGGACTGGAACTTGCAATTCTCCTGCCTCAGCCTCCTCAGCAGCTGGGAATAAGGCCTGTGCCATCACGCCTGGCAAATGTGCATTTTTGAGCTTTGCTGTTTGTTTTTACAACCCTGCCACCCAAGGCCTCAGAAACACCAGGCAGGTGCTGTACACGGAGCCTCACCCGTCTTCCTGCAAAGCTGCTCCTGAGTTGCATCCTGCTCCACTGCGTACTCCGGGGCTCCGGCGCTCCAGCACTTCTGCTCAGGGCTCCCCAGCAGGAAATTCTCAGGGGCCCCTGCTGCAGCATGAGCGAGGCGGCCCTGAGGGTGTGACTGAGCCCACCAACAGGTCTGCAAGGAAGGGGCTCACCAGCTGGCTCAGGCATGCCTTTCCCAAGTTCGCTTTCTGCTCCCACATCACAGGGCTCAGCTGGGGGGTTGGCATGTCCTGCTTGGGGAAGTGATCCGTGTGTCTCTTGCTAAAAGCCTGCTGGATCTGCAGACAGGCAACACTAGCCACACGCATGTGTAGTCAGAGCTCAGTGTTCGTGGCTGGAGCAATTACAGAACTGTTTTAGCTTTACTGACTCTTTAAAAAGATAAGCCAGTCATGGCGGCACATGCTTCTTGTCTCACCACTAGGGAGGCTGAGGCAGAAGGATCATTATAAATTCAAGACCAGGCTGGGCTACACTGTGAGACCCTGTCTCAAAATAAACAAGGCAAAAATAAATGATACAAAACATTCCCATAGCTGGGCATGGTGGTACACACCTGTCATCCCAGCACAGAAGCTGAGACAGGAGGATCCCCATGAATTCAAGGCCAGCCTGGACTGTACAGTAAGACCCTGTCTCAAAAAAACAAGCGAAAGAACATTCCCATTCTGGTAGGGGTCTCTTGGGTGGTGCCGCCTCTGGACTTCCAGAGGTTGTCTGAGCATGAAGGAAAAGCAGCTCTCAGGTTGGCTTTCTATACAGTTAAATTTTTCCTTTAAAACATTCTTGCAGCATGGCTGGGTACTGAGTTCAAGGGGCAGGGTGGGGCTAAGCAGGAAAGGCCCAGTGTTCCACCCCAGCACTAAAAAAACAACACACACTGAAAAACCAAGAAAATCCACTTCATAGCTGAACACTGTTCTAAGCCTGTGTAATTACTTACCTTGTAATAAAACCAGTTCCTTGAAAAAAATGACACAGCAAACACATCATTGGCCAGCACATCCAGTAGGGCAGGAAATGGGTCTTCTCAGGGTGGGGCAGCCCTGGCCTGGCTTCTGGCAGTGGCGGCTGGAAGCCCAGTTCTGATTTGGCTGGGCCTTCCTCACACCCAGCCTGCCCTGCTGCACACTGCACCCCTCTGAGACCGCAGGGACTAGGTCCCCAGCAGAAGTCTGGAGTCCCGAGGAGGGAACTCGGGGCCAGGCTCCTGCCCTTCTCTTGCCGTCTTGCTTCCTCCCACCCTGCCTGGCTTTGGAGGGGTGCCCCAGCCCTATACCCCACCCCGCCGGCAGAGCCCTCAAACAGACTCACAGGACAGCTCCCCTGAGGTTTAGCATCAGTCTTTAATGCTGTCACGCTGCATAACGACAAGTCACATACTTTTAGTCTGTGTCGGCAGTAGCAACGTACAATGAATCTCAAAGTCTGAGCACCAGACTGGCTTCCAGAAAACAGACATTTTTATTCTGACTTCTCCCCACCCCCAAGGTTTCTTCTGAAATCCATTATGGTCCTGTACAGAGAGGCAGTTGCCATGGACTCTTTTGAGTGTCCACCAACTGTAAATGGAATTATAAAAACATATTTACAGACGTTCCACAGTGCTCCTGTAATCAGAAGCAAAGACCCTTTTATCAAAAGGGATTATATCTAGGGCTGTGCAAAATTCAAAAGGATCAGATCCCTTTGAGAGTCCAGAGTCCATTGAACAAAAAATTACCGGGGCCACCGGTAAGCCCTAGGTATGCCAGAGGATTTCCTTCCGGAGCAGGCAAAAAGACTAACCCGGAAGTCAGCAAAGTAGGCTTCACCGAAGCTGCAGGTGACGACCCCTGCCTGCTGCAGCCAGGACCCCTAGGTCCCGGGGAAGAGGGAGCTGTGAGATTTGCTCACTGGAGGCCAGTGCCTTTGGTCCTGCTGGGACGAGGTATTGCTTGTGGTGCCAGCCAGGCAGTTCTGCAGAATTATTTCAGGTTCTCAATTTGAGATGACCAAAGAGAAAGCAGGATTCTCCAGGGGAAGAGCAAGGCAGGGGAGACAAACACAGGATAAAACAGGAACTTATTACACAACAGTGACTGGAGTGCACAGGCTTTGGGGCCTGCCTCGCTGCTGGAAGCAAAGAGACTACAAGAGGGTTCGAGTCTAGCTGCAGAGCCGCCTCTCACCCAGGCTGGGCAGGGGCTGGAGGAGCAGAGGAAGGGCCCAGAGCAGGAGGGCTGCGGGGCCCAGCAGGGCAGACCTGATGCCTTTTCCTGCTGTTCCCATCACTTCCACCATGTCGCTCGAAAAACCACTTAAGCACAACTTTTAAAGATTGCAATATATTCTCTGAAAACACTGAGCAGCACGATAGCCCTCCCTGGGTCCTCCCGCCCTCGCATATCCACAGCTGGGGGCGAGGTCTGGAGATCCTTGAGCTCTGGAAAGGTCCCTGACAGTCCTTGGGAATGCAGACGGTTATATTGGAAGAACCTGCTCGAGGATGGCTCTCGATGTCTGCGGAATCCTTTCCGGGAAGATCACTTCAAACTCGATGATGAGGTCCCCTCGTTTCTCTGGTGTCTTTGGGAGGGGGAGGCCTTCTCCAGGAACTTTCCTTCTCATGCCAGGCCTGATGACATCTTTGAACACAACGGGTATGGTCCTGCCATCCAGAGTAGGGACATTCACCGTACAGCCACACAGAGCCTTGCAAAGCAAATGGACAACATTAGGCAGGAGACACTTAGGAAGTCTTTTTCCCTGAAAAGGCTTTTTGCCCAAGCCTCTGAATCTAAAACTACCCATGTCACCAGCAGTGACAGCTCAGCATAGCAGACCTCAGCCTGGTGGCTGTGTGCTCAAAAACATTTGTGGAGCAAGGACAGGTCAGCTGCGGGAAGCAGCCCCCCTCCCCGCCAGGGCCCCTGTCCTTACCTCCCGAAGGCTGATCCTGGCAGGATAAATGACATCAGAGCCATCTCTCTTGAAGATATTGTGTGGCTTGTCCTTTAAAACAAAGACGATGTCGGCAGGAATGTTGTTAGAAGTCTGGTCTCCTTCCTTGGGGAAGGTAATCTTGGTCCCTTCTTTCCACCCCTTCTTCACTTCGATGGTCAGGATTTTGTCTTCGTTTCGAATGCTCTTTCCGTCGGGGTTGAGCCGCTTGTGGGAGATTTTCATCTTTTTGGTACAGCCACTATAGATCTCTTCAAGGGAGACCCTAAGGTCGTGGGTGACAGGAGGATCTTGCTTCTTGCGGGCAGGCTCCTGGGCAGGGCGGGACCGGCCGAAGTTCATGTTGGTAAAGCCACCCATGTCCATGGCTGGGAAGCCAGAAAACGGGTCATCAATGTCCATGCCTTCTTCCCTGTTCCGCTGCCCAAAGAAGGTGTCAAAGGGATTTCTCCCGCCGAAGAACTCCGCAAACATAGCATGAGGGTCTCCGTGGAATGTGTAGCTGAAAGAGGTCCCGTTTGTGCCACCGCTGCCACCACCACTGGGGCCACCGCCCTTTAAACCTGAAAAGCAAGACCGGAAGTCAGATGGCTGGCCAGGTGCTTCTCTCCAGGACCTTAAGGGGAAAGCTTGGGAACCTGGGGAAAGAATGTTTAGCCTGTCAGGGAAAAGAAAGGAATCCAGGCCTCAACCTCCCACTGGAGCAGCAGAAGGAAGCAGAGCAGCACCGTGCACCTCTCAGTGCCAGGTCAGTGGCAAAGTGCTCAGGTGTAAGCTTCTTCGTGGCCCAAGCCTGTGATCTCAGTGCTCGGGAGGCTGAGGCAAGACTGCCGATCCGGAGTACATAGTGGGTTCAAGGCCCACCTTAACTACATGGTGAAACCCTGCCTCCAAAATAAATAAATAAATACAAAATTAAAAAAGGGCTCAAGCTCTGAGGTGGCCACCTGTAGGTTCCAACCAGCTGCTGCCACTTGACTGACCAGGCTCCCGGCCATTTTACAGGCCAAAGAGCTCACGAAAAGCTCAAAGGAGAAAGGCCTGATTCGGGACGAGCGTCCAGTAAGTGTTAAAAGTCTCCAGGGCAAGCGTTGAACAGGCAGAGTAAAACTACAGTTTAAGCCAGGCACGCTGGTGCATGCCTACCATGTGAGCAGCGCGAGGCAGAGGCAGAGGCAGAGGCAGGATCGCTAAGTCTGTACCCACCATGGGCAATTTAACAGACCCTAGCTAAAATAAAAATTGTTTTTTAAAGAGAGGGCGAGGCGGGGATATAGCTCAGGCCGGGAATATAGCTCAGGGGCCCAAGTGCCTGCCTGGCAAGCGCAAGGTCCTGAGTTCGATTCTCAGTACCAAAAAAATTAAAGAGAGGGCGTGGCGCAGGCCTGTAAACCCAGCACTCTGGAGGCTGAGGCAGGAGGATCGCCGCGATAACCAAAAAAAAAAAAAAAATGAGAGAGGTTGTGGAAAAGTAGCACAGCGCAAAAGCCCTGGGCGCAATTCCCAGCACCGCAAAAAACAACAAACAAACAAACAAAACCACGCTGAGCCGCGTCGGTCTCCCACACCCGCGCCGCCCGCCCTGCTGGAAGCTTCGGCGCCCGCTCCGCCTCCCGCGCCCAGCAGGGCGGATACGCGGCGGCCCGGCGGGTGCACGGCCCGGGACCGCGGGGAGCGGGCAGCGCGGAGGGCCGGCCGGCGCAAGGCGCACGCACCCTCCTCGCCGTAGCGGTCGAAGATCTCGCGCTTGCGCGGGTCGCTCAGCACGTCGTAGGCCTCGGCGATCTCCTTGAACTTCTCCTCGGCGCCCGGCTCCTTGTTCTTGTCGGGGTGGAAGCGCAGCGCCTGGCGGCGGTACGCGCGCTTTATCTCCTCGTCGGACGCGCCGCGGGGCAGGCCCAGCGTCTGATAGTAGTCCTTCCCCATGGCGCCCACCGCCCGCTGCCGCCGTGCCCGGCTCCGCCACCACCCCGTCCCGGACTCTATATACCCGTCCGGCGGAAGCTTCCAGAGCCCGCCAGCCCCCTCCAGAACCTTCCGCCCCGCCCTCCGAGTCGCACCGGCCAATCACCGCCCACCAACGCTTGACGCGAACATCCGGGGCGGGGCCCGGCCGCCAACCGCCGTCCGCCGGCAGTCACGTCCCTCCCCGCTCTGAGCTGCCCACACCTCCCCGAGGCGCACGTACTAGACAGAGGAGTCCCGCCCACCCTGTGATGCCAGCCAATCGCAACGCCCTTTCGCTACCTCCGTTGACTGTCGTGGGTCCCGCCTCCTGCCTGGGTCTATAGTTTAGGACGCGCTTCATAAATTCTGCAGAATGCACAACCCTAGGGGTTTCCAACTACCCGCTCCTGCCCTGGACGACTGGCAGGGTCTGACGGGGCTGGCGGGAGGCCGGCCTTCCCACCTCTGCTTCCACCGCAGGTCACCTGCGGACACAAGGGGGCGAAAGCGCCCCCTCTCTGTCTTTTGTCTTCCGAGATAGAGCCATAATCCCAGCACCGGAGGCTGAGGCAGGAGGTTTGCAAGTTGGCAAGTTGGAGGCCAGCCTAGGTAACTGAGCGAAACCCTGTTGACAAAAACAGCAACAAAGCCAAAACAAAAACCCAAGCAACGGGCTGGGGGTGTGGCTCAGCGGCACGGTGCCTGTCTGGCAAGGGCAAGGTCGTGAGTTCGATTGCCAGTACAAAAAACCACAAACAAAACCCCCAACCAACAAGTGAATCTGGCTGAAGACGTAGCTGTCGGTAGAGCGTGTGTTTTGGAGGTGTGACGCTCCAAGTCGATCCCCAGGACCGAACAACAGCAAAACCCCCCAGCCCCAAACAAAACCAGTAACTGTCCTTAATAAGCCTCGTTGCCCTGGGCCCCAGTGGGCCCTTCAGAACTTTCCTTCCAACCTGGTCTCTGCCGAAGAACCTCCGGATCAGGGGCTCTGCTCTCAGAGAAGCCGTGGTGTTGGGTTCTGGGCCAAAGGCTCGTGATTCCGGTAGATGTGACACAGGAGTCGCTGTCAGGGTTCCTGGAGATGTGGGTGGGTGACATCTGTAATCGTGGGCTTTAGTTATGGGGAGGATCCCGGTACGGTCTGTGTGATGTGGCTTCATGCAGTCCGTGCAGAGGCCCAATAAACTCACCCGCGGGTCCCCTGTGGGAGAAGCCAGAGCTCTGCCCGAGTTTCCACCCTTCGCCCCACATCTGAGACTTGCCAGCCGTCAGTGGGAGCCAAATCCTTGAAATCAATCTCTATGGGGGCTGGGGATTTAGCTCAGCGGCAAAGCGCCTGCCTGGCAAGCGCAAGGTCGTGAGTTCGGTCCCTGGTACCGGAGGAAAAACAAACAAACAAACAAAAAAAAGAAATCAATCTCTATGTTTTATTTTTATTTTATTTTTTTTGTAGTGCTGGGGATGGAACCACCGCTGAGCTCCACGCCTAGCCCTGAAGTGAACGTTAAAACGCACGCACGCATGTGCATGTGCCACTTGTTCAGTTTGTTTGCTGAGGCCCTGACTAGTAGAGAAACTAGCGAGGAATCTGGGCTCAGTCACCCCAGCCCAAATCCTGGATGGACCAAATATTTACTTATTGACCTCAGGGATGCTCTTTTTAAAAAATTATTAGAATGATTACCTTCATCATAGGGAATTTTTTTTTTTTTTTTGTACGGAGAATCGAACTCAGGACATTGTGTTTCCCAGGCAGGTGCTTGTGCCACTGAGCTATATCCCCAGCCCAGGGGTGCTCTTGTGTGACAGTCTCTTATGGTGCCTGTCTGTCTTCTGTAAAATGTAGATAAAAATAGATTTTATCCTTTGGTGTTGCTGTGTATATGAAATTGAGTGAGGCCAGGAAATGAATGTCATTATAAGACCAGTGAAGCTGGGTGTAGTTGCCCGTGCATGCAGACCTGGCACCCAGGAGGCTGAGGCAGGAGGATCGTCCTGAGTTCAAGGCCAGCGACACCTTGGCTCAAAAAACAAAACAACCCCTCCAGAAAAAAACCAAAAAAAAAAAAAGAAAGAAAAAACGGCCAACACCAACATGGACAATCTTGTTCCATGAGCTCTACGAGTGTTAGTTCTTGTGTTTTTGTTTTTTCCTTGTGTTTTGCGGGGCTAGGGATGAAACTCAGGGCCTGTGCATGCCAGGAAAGTGCTCACAGCTGAGCCCTGTTAACTCATGGAGTTGCAGAACCACCCTAAGAGTTGGGGCTGCCCTGTTAGTACCACGCTGTATGCAACTGGCCACTGCAGCAGCCTGAGTTGGACTGGCCTTACCCCAGTTTACAGCTGGGGAGACTCTGAGTAATCACGTGACCTGCCTATGGCCTCCCAGTGAGGGAATGCTGACGTGTTAGCATGCTGAGTGCTTACGGTAAGCAGCTTGTGTATGGTGTGACTCAGACGGTGATAGGTAATCGGCACAGTAGCATTACTGCAGTCTTCACCTCTGTATCTGCTGCTCAGTATCCAAAACCTGACAGACACAGGCGCCTCCGTCTCATCCCTCAAGGAACACTCATGCTCCATTAAAACAAAATGAGTCCTTATCACAATAGGGCTTTGTCTTAACTGAGGTTTTGTAATTACCCACACGGGTTAAAACCAACATGTCCCTGCTGGGTGCATGTCTGCAATCCCAGCTACTTTGAGACTGAGGCAGGGGGATTTCGAGTTTGAGGCCAGCCTGGGATACATAGTGAGAACCTGTCTCAAAGAATAAAAAGGGCTGGGAGTGTGGCTCCGGGTTCAGCCCTTAGTACCTGAAATAAACCAAGCCAAACCAGAACAAAAAGCTCCATGCCCTTCAGTGGACGAATGGATAAAGACCATGGTCACTCCACACAATGGGATATTATTCACAGGGGGTGAGTTGGTACAGGCAACAGCGCATGTACCCTTCAAACACATTGTTTGTGGAAGAAGCCAGACTCCCAATAAAATCTGACCAAAAAAAAAAAAAGCCAGCTGGGCGTGGTGGCGCACGCCTGCAATCCCAGCATTCAGGAGGCTGAGGCAGGAGGAGCGTCGTGAGTTCGAGACCAGCCTGAGCTACAAAGTAAGCTCAAACCCAGCCTGAACTACATAGCGGGATCCTGCCTCAAAAAGAAAAAAAAAAGCAAAAAAGCAAAAAAAAAAGCCAGACTCAAAGGGTCCTGTGATTCCATTTTCTATGACCTTCTGGAAAAGACAAAAGAATCAGAACAGAAAGTAGATCAGTGGTTATGTAGGGCTAGGACTCTGCCACAAATGGGCCAGAGGGTAATGTTTAGAATGATGAAAATGTCTGTATCTGATGGTGGTGGTGGTTACAAGACTGTACATGGCCAGGGATACAGCTCAGTGGCACAGCACCTGCCTGGCAAGTACAAGGTCCCGAGTTTGATTCTCAGTACCAAAAAAAAAAAAAAAAAAAAAAAAAAAAAAAAAATGTGGCCAAGAAGTCACATTAAAAAAAAGTCCACATACAACAGCCATCTCTGAATTCCTACCATCATTGTTTAATGAAGCTCTGCATCGTTTCTAATGTTTTTTATTACTCGTTATTGTCTTTAATTGTTTGACCAATTTTGCATTCTTACATCTTGTAATCTGAGCAACTTTGTTGAAGATAACAATACGCAATATAACAACCATTGTTAATTCCTACTATCTTGTTTTGAAATCCTGTATGATTTTTATTGTTTTTGTCTTCATTGTTGTTATTTTGTTATTTTTTTCCCTCTTTAAAAAAAATTTCACATTATGGGCTGGGAGATTTAGCTCAGCGGCACAGTGCCTGCCTGGTAAGCACAAGGTCCTGAGTTCGATTTCCGGTATAAAAAAAAAGACTGTATATGTTCAGCAGTTACTGCACACTAAAAAGGGCAACTTTTACTGTGTGGAAATTATACCTCAGTTTAAAAGCAAGTAGATGCCAGGCCATACCTGTAATCACAGCACTTGGGAGGCTGAGGCAGAAGGATCCTGAGCGTAAGGCCAGCCTAGGTCACGTTTGTGAGACCTTGGAGAGAGTCGGGGGGATGAGAATGAATGAGCCTTGTGCTATGGCACACAGATCTCAGCTACTTGGGAAGCAGAAGCAGAAGCAAGTTCAAAGCAAGCCTGGGCAACTTCATGAGACCCTATCTCAAAATAAAATTTCAAAAGGGTCAGGGATGTAACTCAGTGCTACAGCATTTGCCTAGTAGCCCTGAGGCCCTAAGTTCAATCCCCAGTACTATTGGAAAACACACACACACACACACACACACACACACACACACACACACAAAACAGAAAACCCTTATATCCCAGGGAAGACAGGCTTGGGAGCTTCTCCCTGGCTCTTGACACAGCGGAAACATCCCAGCCAGTCTCAGCTTGTCCGTCTTGGCTTCCCTTCCCTCTCACAGCTCAGAACCAGATGCAGGAGACACCCGAAAACCAGCCAGGCCAGGTTCTGGAAACACTGTGCGTGCGGGAGGCACAAAGTCTGTGAGAGGACCCTATGGAGCACCTTGGATCGCCACCCTCAAGTGTCCTTGGAGCCCCCACGCCTTAGGTCTCAGGATCAACTCAAACCTGCTATACCCCAAGACTTTCTGCAGTTCCCCTTGAAAATGGCTTTCATAAAGATCTCATTATGATCAGCTTAGCAAGTGCTAAACAGGCCTAGTCACCGTGAGGAATGGGTCAGCGCCATTCGGGGAGCCGAGGATGCAGTTAGAATGGAGATGTCCCTCAGAAAGGCTTGGCAGGGGCCTCAGGACAGTGTTGCTCATGTTGGTTGAACAGTGGCCAGTCTGGGTGGATTTCGTGGCTGACAGCCTGATTCCTAGGAGCCAGAGGAGACACACAAGGGATTCCTGGTGCCTATCACACTCATCCCAAACAGGGCTGGGTGCGGGGTTGTCTTCTGTTATCCTGGCTATTCTAGAGGCTGAGGAGGGGCAAGGAGGTATGATTACCACAGCTAAGAAATTTGCTGCCAGCTTAGAGAACATAGGAACACTTTGTCTCAAAAAAAAAAAAGAGGAAAAAGAAAAAAAAAAAAAGAGCCAGGCACACTCAGAAGGCTGAGGCAGGACAATCAGCAAGAGTTCCAGGCCAGCCTGGGTTTCATAGTGAGTTCAAGGGCAGCCTGGACTATAGAGTCCAGGCGCTGTCCCAAAAACCAACAAATTCCAAAAACAGTAAGCTGGGCATGGTGGCACACACCTGTAATCCACTGTTCTGGGAGGCTGAAGCAGGAGGATCATGAGTCTGAGCTTAACCAGTGGTTTAGTGAGATCCTGTCTCAAAATTAAAAGAAGTGGGGGGAGCTGTGATTGTAGCTCAGTGCAGAGGCTTAGCACCACTAAGGGTACTGGGTTCAAGCCCTAGTACCACTTATGAAACAAGGCAACAAAGAGGGACTGTACTCTTCCCGGCTGGATTCTGCCTTTCTATGATAAGCGCTTCCTGTAGTTGAGGAGGGGTGGAAATTATTTGTGTGCCTGGCTGGTGCATAATAGGTGCACAGTGACGACTTGGTGCCTGTTGAATGAATGTTGGGCTCATAAAAGCCGTTGCAAAAGGGAGTTTCCATAGGGTGCAGAGTGCGTGGGAGGATGTGTGGGATCTTCACAATGACGTCTATGGACACTGTAACCAGTGGTACAGTGAGACTAACCTTAGCATCTGAGACTAACCTCAGCTAGCATCAGAGAAGCAGGAAACTGGCAAAGCTAGGAGAGTGCCAAAGGATGACTAGATTTTAGGGTGCCATACTGCTTCCTTGGTCTTTCACAATTCGAGGCCTCAACTAATTCAACTTGGGAGAGTTTTATCCTGTGGCCTCTGGGTAAATACTGACCTGACCCTTCACCACCCAAGAGGGGCAGTGAGGCTTCCTGGAATAGAAAAAGCCTCAGGACACTGCAGGTGCCTCAGCTGCTGTGGTGGATCAATAACTGGTGGTCAACTTGTAACCCCCAGCTGAACTGACCCAGCACGGTGCTAGGTGTGGGAGGCCCACCTGAGGGTTGCTGCCAGCAGCATAAGAGGCAGAACTGGAGAGGAAGAAGGGAGGCCGTTGGGAGCTGGTAGAAGCTGTTGGGGAGCTATAGAGGGAAGCTGTTGGGAGCTGTTGGTTCTCTTGGAGGACGCTGTCATGCTGGCTTTCCTGATGAACTTGGCTGTTCTCATCAGAGGAAGAGCTGAGGACCTTGTCGCTGAGGTTGGCTACATTTCACTTTGCAGGAGCTCTGGTCCTCATGTTAAGCATCGTTTCCTGGCTCTGGAGGGGAAGGTGGTGCACTGCCAGTCTCCTGGAGAAGCTTGTTGCGTTGGTTTTCCTGATGGGAACTTGGTTTTCCTCATTATCGGAGGAGCTCGGGACCTCACTTGCTGAGGATGGCTGTGGTACTTTTCAGGGGAGCTCTGGTCCTCACTTTGTGTATAGATTCCTGGTTCCAGTGCAGATCCCTCAGCAAGCTAGCACAGATCTTTCATCCTGCTGGCACAGACTTTCTAACTTCCACCACCAACCGTTGGGCTTTCCCAGCGCAGATCTGTGAAACAGGCCTGTATGAGACATTGTCGTGGGCTCCTGGCCTCCAGATGGACTCATGGGGCGGGCATTATAACAGGCTCTATGTCTTCAGCTGGACTCATGCAGGACATTACTGTGGGATCCAGGCCCTCAGCTGGATTCTTTGCTCTTTAGTGTGTGGACAGATTTCCTGTACTCTCTTTGTATATGATGCTTTGGGTATTATAAAATAATTCTAGCTGGGTGTGGTGGCACTCTATAATCCCAGCACTTGGGAGGCTGAGGTAGGATGATCGTTGTGAGTTCGAGGCCAGCCTGGGCTACAAAGTGAGCTCAAGACCTGTCTGAACTGCATAGCAAGACCCTGTCTCAAAAAGACAAAAAAAAATAAATAAAATAATTCTATAAATTATGTGCCCTGTATTGTTCACCTTGCAAAATCCCAAACTACAACAACTACCAACAGAGAAAAGTTCAGTTTTAGAAGCACAGTGGCACACACCTGTAATCCTGCCTACTATGGAGGCTGAGATAGGAGGTTTGCAAGTTCAAAGCCAGCCTGGGCAACTTAGCAAGACTTTCTCTTAAATTAAAAAGGGCCAAGGGGAAAAAAGAAAAGGGCTAGGGATGGGGCTCAGTGCAATCTCCAGTTCTACAAAAAAAAAAAACCAAAACACCTTTATGTTTCACCTGTTTTTGCCCTACTAGCTCAAGTGAAAAAAAACAGTTTTTGAAGATCACAGCCTTTGTTTAGTTGACTCCAGCAATAAGAATTCTCAAAGGTGACAGTTTTAGGAGTTTCCTGAGTGGAGTCTGGATGACTAAGTCCCCAACACTCGCCCAGGCCTGGACCTGCTTCCCTGTGACTCAGAGCTCTTCCTGTAAGGAGTTCTCATGGTGATCTCAGCCAGACCTCTGAGATCCAGAAGGTTCAGCAGCTGAGGGACGCTCAAGGCCAGGGTCTGTTTGTTTTTTGTTTTTATCTTTTTGAGACAGGGTCTCGCTGTGCAGTTCAAGCTGGCCTTGAACTCACTTTGTAGCCCAGGCTGGTCTCAAACTCAAAACGACCCTCCTGCCTCAGCCTCCCGAGTGCTGGGATTACAGGAATGTGCCACAACACCCGGCAAGGCCAGGATCTGAAAAAGGAGAAGGAAGGAGAAAAGGTGAAGGGGGCCAGGTTCTGTCTGCTTTTTTCTTTGTTTTTGGTGGTGCTGGTGATGGAACCCAGGGCCTTGGCACATGCTTGGCAAGGGCTCCACTCGAGCTACACACTGCTATTCTTTTTCTTTTTCGGGGGGGGGGGCGCGTTTTTTCTGGTACCGGAAACCGAACTCACGACCTTGCACTTGCCAGGCAGGTGTTGTGCCGCTGAGCTAAATCCCCAGCCCTCTCTTTTTCAAATTTTATGTTGAGACAGGGTCTTACTAAGTTCCCCAGGCTGGGCTCAAAGTCGTGATCCTCCCATCTCAGCCTCCCAAGTCACTGGGATTACAGACTTGTACCACCATGCCTGGCTGTCCTGAAGTTTTGAGTGTTTGTGTGTGTGTGTGTGTGTGTGTGTGTGTTGTGTGTTTAATCTTGGAATGATGGAATATAGCCATGACCCCAGACCACCAATGTCCAGTTGATTTTGGGATCCATAAACATACTATGTGATTTCATATCTTCACATAGGAGGCTAAAGAGCAAGGTAGAGTGCCTGCCCAGTATGCATGAGGCCCTGAGTTTGATGCCCAGGCACTGAAAAGAAAGGAAGAGGTGCAAACAGGCACCTCTTCCTTTAATATTAATAAAGTAAAAAGAAACCAGGGAATTTAATTTTAATAATGCATTTTATTTTATTTTATTTTTTTTGAGACAGGTTCTCGCTATGCAGTTCAGGCTGACCTTAAGCTCGCTCTGTAGCCCAGGCTGGTCTTGAACTCCAAACGACCCTCCTGCCTCAGCCTCCCGAGTGCTGGGATTACAGGTGTGCGTCACCACGCCTGGCTCAATAATACATTTTAATCCAATACATAAAATATATTATTATTTCAAACCCAGATCCTTGGAAGGTTGAGACATGAGCATAACAAATTTGAGACCAGTCTGGGCAGTTTAATGAGACCCTATTCTTTCTTTCTCTTTTCTTTTCTTTGTCTTTTTGAGACAGGGTCTCACTATGCAGCTCAGGCTGGCCTTGAGCTCACTTTGTAGCCCAGGCTGGTCTCGAACTCGAAATAATCCTCCTGCCTCAGCCTCCTGAGTATTGGGATTACAGGCATATGCCACCATGCCCGGTAAGAGACTCCGTTTCTTTCTGGCTTTTTTCTTTCTTTCTTTTTTCCTCCTTGGGGTTTTCTAAGGCCTCATTATGTAGTCCATGCTGGTCTTGAACACACTGTGTAGTCTAAGCTGGCCTCGAACTTGCATTGATCCTCTTGTTTCAGCCTCCTCAATGCTGGGTTGCCCTGCCCTCAATGCCGGGCGGGGAGACCTTCTTTCATAATGAATAATGAAAATGGCTGGGGATGTAGCTCAGCGCTCCCTCAGTTCAATTCGCAGTACCAAAAAAATACTATGCTTTCTTTTCTTCTTTTTTTTTTTTCGGTACCGAGAATCGAACTCAAGACATCGCGCTTGCCAGGCAGGGGCTGTGCCACTGAGTTAAATCCCCAGCCCCCAAAAATTATACTTTCAAAATGTAATCGAACATAAAAAGTTACCAGGTAACTTTTTTACAGGCATCTTTTTACCCCATGCCTGACATTGACAACACTGTACTGTATCTGCCATGAAGTGATGTATTTGACACCGAAAGCGCTCTCAGTTTAGCCCTCTGCACTCCTAGGCTCAGGTAACAGCAGTGACCACAACGGAAGAAGCCCAGAGACACCCGGGGCCCTCTGCCTGGAGGCCGAGCAAGGTGGGGAAGAGGACAGCATGAAGAAGCCAGTGGAGACACCTCCAGAATGGGGTTGGGCTCAGGTTGCAAGCTAAGGTCCCAGGGAGCCTGATGTCACCTCCTTTCTCTCCTTCACATCCACTCGTAACAGATGAATCCTCTCCCGCCGCTCCCCAGCGCCGCGGCGCGGTCCACCTCGCAATTCACGCAGCCTCACAGCCAGCCTGGTTGACGCTGTCTTTCCCTGTCACTCAACTTCATACTCCCGCCTCCCCCGAGTTGTAGTAACCACCGCTTCCTTTGGTTTCCACAGAGACGCTGGGGGGGGGGGCGGGGAAAGAAAAAAAAAAACAACAAAAAAAAAAAACAGAGGGGCCCAAGCTCCCTTTTGATTGGTGGTTAGTCAAGCCTCTTCTTTTAGTCACTCCTACCCTTGCTCCACCTTCTCAGTGGGTCCCGCAAGATGATTGGTCAATCTTGTGGTGCGAGCCGCTAGTCTTTGATCGTGCTCGCCCTTTGGGGCGGGGCGGAGGGTGGGCACCTCTAGTGCTAATTGGCCGGCTGGGCGCGCGGAGCTGGGAGGGGCGGGGCGGAGGCCGAGCGCAGTTAGTCTAGGGCGACAGTCGCGAGCGCGTGGAGCTAACCTGTGCTGTGTCGCGCGCGGGTAGCCAGCAGTAGCTGGGCCTGGAACCAGCGAGTAAAGGAGCCATGAAGCACTATGAGGTAAGAAACAAGGAAATAGCGACCGAGCAGCCATCGCATTACTATTTGTTTTTCTTTGCGGGACCGCAGGACCCCCCCACCCCAACTGGTGCACCAAAGGGAGAGCCGGGTGGCGCAGGCGCAGTAGGTGCGCGCTGCGCCCCGGGGCCGCTTGTAAAATCCAGTGCGCAGGCGCCGAGGAGGTATTTATAAATCTGCAACCCAGGCTGTTTTGGGGGTGCCTTTTCTTGGGGTCTCTGCAGGGCCAGGGGAAAGCTCACAGGTTGCTTGCAGCTTTCCCAGCAGGCAGATTTGCATACTCGGAACCTGTGCTCCTGATCTGAGGGAGTCTTGCATACATCTTGCGCCTGCCTACCCCCTCCGCAGGCTGCATTGAGCCGTCTCCTGGTGACTTTTGCACCCCATTCTCGCACGGACTCTCCCTGAGAAGCTCAGCGAGGGAGATGCAGCCTCGTACCAGTCACCACGGAAAGATCTTACGCCACAGTCACTCTTGAAGCCCGAGTCTTTTGACTCCTAACTTGGGATTGTTTTTCCCTTAAAACGGACTCTGTTGTGGTTATCGACCTAGTTGATAGTACAATGTTAGTAATTCAGCTGTTTATGACTAAATAGCTACCATTAAACTAATATATTAATCTTCGTCGTAAGAGTAGTTTAGCAAGTGGTTGCTGTTGTGCAAGCAATAATCTGTGACCTTATTTTCTTCCTAACCACCCCCTGAGATAGGACATTATTACTATCCCTATTTATTTAGTAAAGAAGGTCTTAGAGCTGTCAAGTGACTTTTCTAAAGGCTCCTAGCCAGGAAATTGGGAACACAGAGAGGGAACCAGCGCTCTAAAGTGAAAGGGTTTTTAGCCATTTTGCCATGCAGATCCTTAAATGAAAACTAGCGAGTTGAGGCATTTTATGTAGGCTTCTTGTTTCCTCCTCCTCCCAAATTTGTAAAATCGAGGTGAAAGACACATCAAGTCTGTCCTCCCAACCATTTTGAAGCGTACAGTTCAGTGGTGTTAAGTACATTCACGCTGTGCAGCCGCCGCCACACCCATCTGCAAAACTTAGCTTTTTTAACAGTAACTGTTCCCACTCCCCCCAGCCCTTGGCAAGCACCATTATACTGCTGTGCAGATCGGATTGCTCTGGGGACCTCTCGGTGGAAGGAAGTTGAGTTTTGCTGGTTAGGTGTTAGGTAAGGTAGGCTTTTGAGGGTGGACACTTTCTTTTGAGGAAGCTGGGCCCAGCTTTAGGCCGGTGGCTTGGACTGGAGAACTTGCTCTACCTCAGTTAAACTTCTTCTCTGCCAGAGGGAGAGCCTCAGTCACTGTTAAGGGTAACCTCGGAAGGGCTAGGGGCGAGGCTTCGAGGCAGAACCAAAAGCACACACGTTCTGGAGTACATCCCTAGCACCTCAAAGCAAAACAAGGACCAGAGTGACCTTGGGGAGAAACAGAAACCACTGTTTCACCGTATTCTTTGTTACCATACCCTGTAAAGGGTGCCAGATACAGAAGCGAGAGCTAATCTAGTTTCCCAATGGAAGGAGGAGTCTTGTAGCCCAGTTTGCGCAGCAAGCAGGTTAGTTTGCTCTAAGGGTTTGGTGTGGGCCAATCAAAATAGAAAACACACTTTCACTTACACTTACATTTACATTTACCCGGTGGTTTAGGAAATGGTTTCTTTTCTTCTTC